CATCAAAGAGACTGGCCACGTTTTCGATTGTCGAGGAGCGACCACCGTAGGCCGAGGAGCCTCAAAAGTAGAAAAGCTGACGCTTGATGAATAGTTCTCAGATGTCAATTATGTCAACAGGCCTACAACTTTTTGACCGTTATATGAGCAAAGGACAGCTCAAGGCCAAACTGAACATAAGAATTGCAAGAGAAAACTCCACGACGAACCGGCCGAAATAAGAGGAAGGATTATCAGGACCTCCTGCCGTGGGGACAAGCAATCATACTCATTGCTGTTCATGCCTTCTAGCGACCGCCGACTTCAGTGATAGATTATAAGCACAAACCGCTATACTTGCCATCACTTCTCTTCTGACCACTAGAATTACCCTCCTTTTGGTTGCTACTTCTCTTATCTGACGATGGAGTGCGGTAAAAGATAGAAAGTTTACGAAAACAAACCAAATGATTCAATGTTCAACACGTCTTCCTTCGTCTCCATGCAAATATCCGGAAGGCAAACGTTTTCATTAATTCCGGAAAGGTGCCAATTTTAGCTCCAATTAACCCACACACGATACTACCTATGCCATTCTTCATCTGCCGAAAGGATACAAATGACGACAGGGGATCTGTCATCTGTTTCTATTCAGAATTACAGAAATGCACAAGTATGAATACGCCAGATATAGTGTTGTCGGCGGTGCGTTATCTGTCATTGACGCACCTTCTTCGCTGATAATTTAAGTCAGTCGATTTTATGCCGTTTTTTGTAATTAAAACAAAATACTTGAGCAGTGCCATTACTATCACATTAAGCCTAGGAATGTGAGTTTCAACGTCACGATCTTGTCAAGCTTCCTTGCTTATTGCTTAGTCTGCAATATGGAAGACAATTTGCCTAATCCTGTCCCAATTTGCTGCTCTCAGGCAGTCAACCGTGGGACCTACTTTTTTTCAGGCTTCGGCGTTTTATAGCTGCCACAGGAATAGTCTGATAGCCAATAAGATGCGTTTTTTTATAAACAGAGGCTGCTTCTTTAAGTAACAACGACATTTGCAGTTATTTTTCCAATTTTTTTTCCAACTTTCATCGGCGCATTTCATGCATTTTTATTTGAACTCCATGATACACCACTGTTTTCAAATGCGGTGAACAGGCACACTCACAATTTCACTGCTCGTACACAAAACGTATCGGCAAGGTCAGTCACTTAGGAATGCAATTCAGTGTGGGGATCACCACGACAACTGCATATACTACCTATTTGCATTCGCACACTACACAGTCTATAGGGCCATGCACGTATCCTCTAAAATTACATTTCGGGCCCTGCTCGAAGCAACAGGATTGAAATAGCGAAATGTGGCAATAACCCATATAACAAAGAAAACCTTTCCCACGTAACCAGCCTTGTCTTCTGAAACCCTTCGCCTTACTGCCATAACTCTCTTATAGGAAAAGACAAACACGATTTAACTTGTACCGCGTTCCCATAACAAGTAACTGGGCCGATAATAATTGTTCAAAAGCCTGCGTATGCTCGCAAACAATCCCCGCGTATTTTCTGATGGGAATTTGGCAAACAAATTGCAAAATAAGAATGAAAAAAACTTATTTGCTTATGCAACTTATGGAAAATATGAAAAAAGTGCCGACAGTTTACTTATAAATACCGGACTATTTATGCCTGTGTTGAAGTTCACGCCCATCATAGACTACCACTGTTCTCCAGACCAGAGCATATATGACAAACCATTGCGTTAAATATCAAACTGCACACGCTTTCAAACGGGTTCTCTGTCATAGGCAAAATCCGATGCTCCTGTCACATTCGGAGCCCCTGCTGCGTTAGTGCTTAGCTACTCAATAAGGTAATGGACTGCGAAAGTAAATTTCTGGGCACAGATTGACGTTAAGTGTGAAGCTAAATGATGCCATTACGTAGGCTTAACGCAAAAACAGTAAGACGTAAGGCCGGTAATTTCCAATTTGTTCTATCATCTCTGAGGTATTAACCGATACCAGTGTCTTAGCTGGAAGAAATTTCGCGGATAACCAAAACTCATTTGCTTTTTATGGGAAGATGGAATGTATTATTAAAACAGCATCGGAAGAACTGGTGAGGGAACTTGTGCATTTATTTAGTAAAGCTTTTACAGCGCAAACTGATGGACAACATGCGGAAAGTGTTACAAGCCTTTTGCTTCACAAAAACAAATAAACCTTTACATTTACTTCAAGAAAGTTTTAGCAGGATAGACTGGTGCACAACACGGCAAAAGAAAAATTGTGAGCAAAGGGGAACACAAAAATCCAACATCACAGAATTAGTTTACATAAGATACAAAAATAGTTTGGGGAAACTGATGGCGTTTGGGATTCGGCGTACGATGGGAGACATTTTACATTAAAAATCAAATATTAAATCGTGCAGAGAACAACTTGCCTTATTGTACATCAGATATAATCGTTCCCGCTGGCAATGCGGAGATTAAGGTTAGTAAGCTGATCCAGTGTGTTAGGAACAGTTAAACGACAGTTTTGGACAGTTACACATGCATGATTAATTTTACTTTGTCTGTGTTTATCTTTGGTGGTTGTAGAAATGTGGTCCAATGCAATGACGAAGTTGATGCTCATTTACACACTGATTATATCAGTTTTCAGCTCTGGTATGTTCTAGGCAATCTCTGTCATGATAAGAATCAATCTGTTTTCCCGCAAATTTAGCTCACCATATTAAATACTTAAATGCCAAAGAGTCTGCTGCATTGAATGCTATTTAAAGACCTACGAGGCCTTCCTTCTTCCCCTTTGATGTCCCATTGCCTGCAAAGCCTCCCTTCACAATATGGACGGTCCCCAGACCTATCAGACCTCCAACTCTACCGACTGAAATACAGCCGCCTAAAGAGCAGGCGACTCCGTCCACTAAAGTTTCACCGTCCAACGGGGATGCCTCTGCACTGAGCACACTCTCATCCTCCAACGAGGATGCCGCTCTACCGAGTACAGTCTCACCGCCCAACAAGGATGCCGCTCCACCGAACAGAGTCATAGAGTCTGTTGCGTTGGATGTGATTTCACGACATTGGAAGACTTCCTTATCCCCATTTGGTGTCCCATTGCCTACAAGGTCTCCCTCCACATTATGGACGCTCCCCAGACCTACCATGCCTTCCAATCTTCTGACCGAAATTCAGCCGCCTAAAGAGCAGGCGACTCCATCCACTACAGTTTCACCGTCCAACGACGATGCCGCTCTACCGAGTACAGTCTCACCGCCCAACAAGGATGCCGTTCCACCGAACAGAGTCATAGAGTCTGTTGCCTTGGATGTGATTTCACGACCTTCGAAGACTTCCTTATCCCCATTTGATGTCCCATTACCTACAAGGCCGCCCTCCACATTATGTAAGGTCACCAAACCTACCAGGCCTCCCACTCCACCGACTGAAATATAGCTGCCTAAAGAGCATGCGACTCCGTCCTCGACAGTTTTACCGTCCAACGAGGATGCCTCTGCACTGAGTACACTCTCATCGTCCAACGAGGATGCCGCTCCACCGAGTACAGTCTCACAGTCCAAGGACGATGCCGCTTCACCGAGCACAGTCATAAAGTCTGCTGCTTTAGATGTGATTTCAGGACCCACGAGGCCTTCCTTCTCTCCCTTTGATGTCCCATTGCCTACAAGGCCTCCCTCCATATTATGGACGGTCCCCAGACCTACCAGGTCTCCATTCCGTCATTTTATCCATGTTACACACTTGCCTTCACTCAGTGTTGATCGCTGTTCATTTATAATTTATAAAAAACCCTAGAGTGCGCTTTTAAATGCACACCTTTAAAAAACTATTTCATACTTCGCGCTCTTCTGTTGTTGATTTTCTTACTCTGCGATACCACAAACAGAAGGGGAGTATGTTTTTATTGGATGAACTTATCGGCGGAATGTAAGGAAAGTTAAAATCACATTTTGGAATCGACCACCGTGTGCTTCAAAAATGCATGGTTGTTCGTGTTCAGATTAACCAGGCTGGCCGCTATTACACCAGCGACAATGATAAAAAACTTGTTTGCACACTTTAGGTGTACAGGTCAAAAGTGGAGACGGTCGGTGTCCGGAAGCACTGTCTTAGCCGTCAATAAATACACGGAGCGCAGATACATTGGCGCATTAAATATCATCCCCGTCTAAGATGTAAGCAATTTCTGAAGCTGGTGTCCGTCCGTGTAATCAACAAGTTGTAACAATTAACTAGACGCTGCCGTGTACTATACACTTCACAACAAATTGAATAAAGAGTGTAATCACCAACTATCAGCAAATATTCATTAATATGCGTGCACGTATGTCAAGAGGCATGAAACCATGCACAGAGAAACTGACAGACGCGAACTGCCGAACACGCGGAGACAGGGGCGCACTGCCGTGAGCCATACCAAACGAGCTGGCGAATTGGTCGAGGATAAGCACTCAAGTACACAATGTGATTCGGCAAGACAGCCAGGAGAGGGCACAGTTATATGAGCGCCAGAGTCTGATCCAAAGATCGAGAGTTATTTTTTTCGGGTTGTGCACCATATGTTGCTAGATATGCCCGGCTAGCAGAGGTTTTCTGGCCAAACCTTGTTAGTTCAGTATCCCTTGTTTTCGTGAGTAAAGTCACTATGTCTGGACGACTAACCACTGTGCACGACTTGGCTCCTTCTACTGTCTCGTAGGCTGTAGGAGTTCAGAGGATTTTGAGCAGGATTCCGTGGGCTGCGTGAATGATAAAGGAAGTTTGTTTTTCTCCGGAACTGCACTAGGTGTGAAGGACAGCTTGCTTGTCTGGGAAGTTTCACTGGATGAGCCGCTACCCTGCACAGTCTCTGCGTAGTTTTCCGTGGGAATTCTCTCAAACTGCAGAACATTATTCCGTCTGGATTTCCGCAGGCATTCATTTGCTCAGTGGGTAGACCGTGCCTGGGATGGATTGCCGTAGGAGATCGTCATAGAGAACACGATATATGCATTAAGCGTATCATCTATGCATATTTACTTTAAGACACCGTTCATACGCACAATACAGCACTGTAAGTAGTCACAAAATCTTTGGTCATACATGCAATTAATAAAACTGCGCATGTGTATATGTTACTCATTATTACGCAGTAACGTATTTAATGTTGAATATTGCATGTGAACTGTTTGCAATAGGGTATTTGAAGGCATTGCCTACTGAATTTAATATACTACACTATACGGAAGTGAGAAAAACTTCTGCCCGTTCTTAACGGAACCTGGTTAAAAAAAAGGAGCATGTGGTAGAGAGATGAAACCACAAACACAGAACGTTACATGAAAGAGCAGTAGACAACAGGACTTGCAAACTATCTTGTTCCACGTCATCCAAAAAGGACGAAATTGTGCACAATCTGTGGCCAGAGAAAAAAACGGGGCAAAAAATACAAGTATTAAGCAATGTGCATTCATTAAGTACTAGTGCGGAAGCCCGGCTTCGCCTTGGGCTTCCTTACATGTTGTTGTCCCTTTATGTAGGGAAACCGTATATGAGAATGAGAAGATTATGAAGAAGAAGAAGGTGAGTCGGTCAGAATTTCTGAGGTCGATTTGACTCGATTTATAGTATGTGTGTGCTCAGAAGA